GAAATGGTACAAAGACAAAGCTATATTGAAATAAAACTATTTTGTGATTTCTGCTTATACATCGAAGAAACTGTTTGGGTTTTTAAAATTTGATTGCAAGCAAGCCCAAACTTTTTACCAAAACAATTGTTTAATGGGTTAAGTTATGCTATCATCGGCAACTGTTAAAGAATAAAATTCGTCGTAATTTATTACACTGTAAAATATTTTGACAATACTACTGCATTTCAACATCTTTGTACTATAGAATCAACCCATTTTATTATGTTTGGATCAATGAGAAGTTTTCGTTGCGCTTAATAAATTTCATAATTTGTCTCCTTGTTATAGGGCACAAATAATGTAATGGTAAAATAATTTTTTTTAAATATATATATATATATTTTAAATCTTAAGGACGCAAATAAATAAACATTTTCTAATTATTTGAAAAATAATCTAAGTATTCGAAGCAAACAAAAAGTTTATCTCAAAAACATTTTCAAATGTTTCCTCTTTTTGAATTCGTCAGCCAAGTCGAGATTTAAAGAAGACAGTTAATGTATTTCAGAGATTTGGAACAATACTTATGACAAAAATACCCAGCATTAATTTAAGCTGATGATGCTATGACACACAAATATCTGGTAATAATAATTAAACGTTACAGTAACCAATAAATTATATTTCACCAATTTTTAATCCTAAAGGTATATATTGGGTTTTTGACTTTTTATGCTAAAATAAATACGGGAAAAAATGTGCGAAGCACACAAAATTTGTGAAGAAAAAACATTACTGGATTCAAACAGGAGTGAACAGTTCTTTAAAATGTGACACTTTTTTTTCGTTAGTAAGGTGTCAAAACGTATGAGTGAGTGTTTATGAACGTCACATTTAAGCACCATGACAGTTATCTGCAGTTATTTTGAGCCGCAGGACGTGGATGACATATAAGCCGGCATCCACTCCCCTAGCTTCCCCGCCACACCAACGTGAAGACTTTGAGCCCCAACAGATTTAATGTGCAGCAACTCCTCTAGATCTCGAGTCTTCCGTGGCGTCAAGATACGAACCCGACTATGAATCCCTGGCCAGGATCCATAGGCTACCGCAGCCACACATGTTGAAATGGGATTAGTATGGCACGTTTTTAGCTGTATTAAAAGGTATAAATATTTTTCCAGTTTGGATTACATCTTCTTAGATACAAGTGAAGATTTCATCAAGATTTATTTATATATTGTACAAAGAGATGATAACTGAGAATTATGTTCGAGGAGTACTGTTTTAAATGCCCAAATAGATTCTAGAAATAAATTTATTACATTAAAGCAGCGTTTCTCAAACTATGGGGTGCCCCCCCTTAGAGGGGCGTGATAACTCTTCGAGGGGGGGGGGGGGCGAGCCTATTGAAAAGTCGAAACAAAAGATTATTTTTAAAAATATTATTTTACTGAAAGTAAACAAACAAAATACATTCCGACATAATTAAAAATAAAACACACGTTTAGAATGATGTAATACACTTATAAATGTACCAGTACTGCATAATGTACTTTATAATTAATCAGAACAAGTTTAATAATTATCAGTAACCTTATGGGCTTGTCATATATAAAATGATATACAAAAATTTGATTCTCATCTTGATAATCTGTACGGTTTATAATGAGTCCCTTAACTGCCGATTAAAAGTTACGCGATTCGTTCCCCAATACAACCGTTTTCCACGTAAGCGGGCATATATGATGTAATGGGGGGGGGGAGGGAATAAATAAGCAAATATCCTCCCCGAAATAAGTAAATCTTTCACAAACTCTGTCAAGGTCCATTTAATGCATTCCAAAGCCTTCGGAATAACTTTATGGTTGGCAGAGCACAGAAAAGATAGTACTTTGTGGAAAAGCGTGTATATACGTCCGGGGCAATTAGCACTTTGACTGAGCGAGACGTTTATATACGTGAGTGGCACTTAAGAGGTTAAAGTAGTATTGTAGACTTAGTATTTAAAATAGTATTTAAATCCGTAAAGGTACAGTATAGTATTATTGAATTCAATACATTGTTATTGTATGGAGGTTGAGGCGAGGGTGATGAAGATTAAGATTGAATATTGGGTCGCAAATATTCAAAGTTTGAAAAGCAGTATATTTAAGTGTTGAAGAATTTTTTTCAGAGATTATTATATATCTTTATAACAATGATTTTTTTTACAATGAATCCTTTTAAATAAAAAAAAAATAACAGGTGATACAAAAATCGCCGCCATTGGTTCATTTTACCCTTGCAAAATAGACTAATGACCGCATCGAAATGTAATGGAGTTTTAATCACTTAAATACTATTTATGTATTAAAAAAGTTCTAATGTATAATTTACTCGATATTTTTTTTTATTATGATATCATATAATGTATTATTATGATGCGAGTTGAAAAAGGGAAAAAACAAACAAACATTGGAATTAGATGAGTGGGAAGATATAGTCGTAAAACGTTGCATAATTAGATTTCAATGGATAATTATCAGAAATAAGAATAAAGTTAAGTTTAAGCTACAATAAATTATTGTAAAATTATATATTTCACAGCACCAAAAATTGATTTGGTCAATAAAAGAAAAAAAGAAAAAGAAGATCGTATCAGAAGAACATTATAATTTTTTTTAATTATACAATCTAACATATATTTACTTGCTGAAGTAAATCTCTGATTAATTAAATAAAGATAAATAAAATATTGTTTTATATAAAATGTTGTTTTGATACCTTTATTATCTTATTATAACACATCTTATTAATATTATTAAATATTATTTTTATTTAAACTGAATTTTTTGATAAATACCAATTATTGCCGGGAATACATGGCCGGCGTAGTTTTTGTCCATTCTTGGGTACCAAAAGAGATTTGCCATGTAAAAGGGCTGATTTAAAATCTGTCGAGGCTCAAAGTTTTCACGTGGTGTGATGTGGGAGTTTGGAGTGTGGGGTGTCAGATCAGGTGTCGTTTTTTACACTTTGCAGGAGTTCAGAATTACAAGTCCTTCGTCGATAGTGTAGCCTCAAAATGTGATGTTAATAGTCAATCAACCAATAAAACGGTAAATAACGAAATATTTTATTCATTCGTAGTTTTTAAAATTATAATATAAATCAGCTTTATCTAAAAAAAAACTACACTTTATTAAATTCTTCCTAGACTTAAATATTTTTATTAACAAAAATCCACTAAAAATAAACCAAAATGTCTTTTTATTTTTTTAAAAAGTGTTGATAAATAATTTTTTTTATCTATAGATTATAAGATGATAATTACATTATAGTCGAAGGAACTTAGTGGTCATGATCAGTTGGTCAGATAGTTTGACAATGGCGTGTCATTTGTTCGAATTCTAGCGCCACATAAAATACGCTGAGTAGACGGGTTGGTGCACGTTTAATCTGTCATGGCACGAAGTTCTCCCTTTGGAGTGGTAGGGTAGTTTGGAAGTGCGGTTTCAGCTCAGGTGTCGTTCTCTTCATTTAATAGAGATTCAAAATTATGAGGTCCGTCGCCAATTGCCCTCTCCTCGTTTCTATAATTACCATTTTAGAGTATATTTGCGTTCTGCTTTCTAAGCATTTTCAAATGACCACATTCTATAATTCTCTATTTCTTCACTTTAATATTTGGCTCCTTACACGGCTTGTCCGTACGGTGATTTTGCACTGGTATTTCTTAGATTTGCTCGTATTTTTGATTCTTAAGATGATATTATTTAGTGCTAGTGTTTTGAAAAGTTAATACAGTTTGACTATGGTACTGAAATGACTTTCCTCCGGTATTTTCTTCGAGGTAAAGACAGGATTTTTTTTTGTTGTTGTTGATGAAGCCAGGAATTTAGATCCTTAAAATCTGTGTTCTACTGCATGTAATGCTTTTTCATTCAGACCAGTGAATTTTGAAATTACAGATAATGCACATACACATAAAAAAATCTCTTTTTTGTGAAAGGATGATATAATTTTTAGGTACAGCTTCAGAACTATCTGCTTTTTACTTGGGTAATTCTTCAGAAAAACAAACACGCAAACTTTTTTACTCACAAAATCTAGAACCGTTTAAAAAAGTACGAACACAAAAATTTCGTAGGATATAGAAATATTCCTCATAGCATGCAGATTGTGCATACAAAAGCAAACATTAAAGAGTTTTAGTGTTCCACAACTGTAAAATAAAAAAGAGGAATAAAGAATTTAAAATTTAAAATAAAAGTTAAATTCATCCATTTCCTTATTCTATATTAAGTATGATATTTAGTTGCATACAATAAACAAGTAATATAAGAAAAATTTTAAAGTCGATTCCTACTTAGGTCAACAAAGAAAAATTTTATTTTTGTTACTTTTTATTAAATAATTACAATTAGTATAAATATGTATATACATATGACAGAATCACACTATTAAGTTTCAAAATAGGAAGCGATTTTCCCAATTTTCTTTCTATATATCAGGGATGGTGAACCACTGGCACGTGACACAATATTTTGGGCATGCAACTAATCAAAACGCAGTTTGCATTTTAGCTCAAACTAACAAAATTCACTATGAAGCATTACGAACAAACGTGAGTTAACGATCATGTTACGCCAGGCGGCGGGGAACACACTCGTTTGTTATTGTCTTACAATCGTCATAAGAGTTATTTGTCATCTAATCTGCAACAACAGAAGTTACACTAATGCTACTTTAATTTGAATTACACGTATGACTAAAACATTTACTACAATGCAGTGCAAAATGTACTTTTTTTGTAGTAAAAACAGAGTTCTGAGTATTTATTATTATTTTCCCAATAATCACAAGTTAAAAGTATTTGTGTGATGGCACGTCTATACCTCATTAAACATTTCTTCAGAAAAAATGGCATGTTGATCCATAAAAGTTCACCACCCCTTCTATATGTGGTATATAGGGCTGTTATTTTTGTTTGTTACTATTTATTCATACATAAATCACATTTTCAGAAATTAGGCCATCCCAGGTAGGATTAGAACCCACGCCCTTTGGATTAGAAGTCCAATGCACTATTCATCACGTTACAGGGATACAACAAGCGGTTTTCTTTTTTATATATGGTGTTGGACTATTATTTTTGTTACTATATATTCATTAATTAAATTAAATGAATTAATTAATATTTGGAAAAGCTGTATTAATATCAAGTGTCACTCACTACATGTTTAAAAAAATGTATTTGAACTTGAAAGGATGAATAAAAAGCATTTTATTAACGATTGAAAATTTGAACATGATATATATATATATATATATATATATATATAGGGTGAGTGTGAACTAATAGTTGGAATTAAAAAAAAATATGCCTTTTTTTTAAATATTTTGGTTAAAATAATTAAACAATTAAGAAATTTTAAAAAGTTTGGATTAAAATTATTTTATATAAAACTGATGAAAAATGGGATTATGTATGAACTTTTTTCCTTAGGAAAGATTTTTTTATAGTTAAAATATTTAAATTTTCATTAGAAACAAGACATTTTGCTACTTTAAGCAGGAAGCCGTGGCACAATATTTATAAATATTGTAATATTTTCTACAGTGTGTGTATCACTTTAAATTCTATTTGCACTAGTTGTTAGCAATCTTTAAGATAATGACAATGTGATGAAACAAAAAAAAGTCCATTTAATCATTATTATTAATTTCTACAATGGCACTTCATTTATAACAGAGCGAATCAAGTGTTCTTCATCAAGACAAACAAAAATGAAACACAAAAACAAACTTGCATTTTGATATTACTCTTCAATAGACTGAACAAATTCCTTGAAGATACCTCCTGGCATCTTGTGCCGAAGAATATTAATAAGAGAAAACGTACCTTCCTAAAACTATCATTCCACAATAAAAGGATACAGGGAAAAATAAAAGGAGAAAAGAAGATTCCCGGGGAAAAAAGTAGGGATAACTTCGAAACACATCGTCAACAGAACCACATTATTAGAGATTCGGGAAGAGAAACTATAATCATAAAGACACAAAGAAATCTGGAGGGCACAAAGGCAATATGGCTGCTTTTCCTGCTTAGCATAAAGCCGAAACAAAGGGATAGAGGAACAAGGAGATAGGGAATTTGCGATTTTCTAAGAATATGTAAACAAGGGAAAAGGGGAAGACAAACAATAGAAGGAATAGCTGCCTGGAATATCTAAGCGATTCTTAAAACGTCATTTAAATAACCACATTAAGAAAGAGCGTTTTATAAAATAACGGTGTTTCAATGGATTTTTTTTTCTTTTTCTTTTTCTTCTCATTCTTCTTTCCAACTGTTATTATTTTCTGTCCCTTTCAATAGTGAGGATGTAGGAAACCGTGATTGCATTAGATATTTTGAGACGAAAGAGGTTCTACTTGAATAAATGCGGATTCGGAACTTCGTAGTTCTTCTCTGCTTCCAAAAAGTTTGGATTTCGTTGATAATTAAAATAAATAAATAAGTAAAAAGTGAAGATGAAGATGAAACTCTGGGAAACGTTGCCGGTGTGTTTGTAAGAAACTATCCTTTATTTATTTATTTTTTTTTATTCTTAAAATCGATGTTTTCAAACAGATATTTTTGTGAGGCTAATTTTCTATAAGCTTTTTCAAAATGAAATTTTCTATACACAGAAAAACTTTTCAGAACATTTTATTTACGATTTATATCAGTTACAAGATTAAAAAAATTAATTGCTTTTAATATGCTATTACGGCAGTTTCCAGGTCCGATTTCCTGTTAGAAAACTAATTACTTCCCCCAACGGCCACGTAGTTTCGCATGGGAAAGTAACCAAGACAGTACGATACTGACGTTTAGGTTCTACCAACGTTAGGTTAGGTTACCGACGTTTAGGTTAGGACATTAGGCAAGTAAACCTTTAACCTTCCTTCATCTAGCCGACAGAGAAGCGTCCGTCGCAGTACCAACGCCAATCTCCAGCTTCAAAGACCACCGTACAATGGGTGACAAGGACCAATGGCTGAAAAGTAATCCGGCTACGTCCAAATAGAAATGATTCTGCATCACGCTTTTGAAGGCGTGATATATTCCGCCTTTGAAAAGACGAAAAGGTGAAACGAAGACGCTCTCTATCAGACTACTCTCTCAAACCTACTATCGGACCTTTCAAGGTTCCAGCATAGCGAGTTCCAGCCAAGCGCAGCATTTATATCAGTGATCCGGCTCTAATAGAACCTCATTAGAGGTGCTCCTCTTCAGAATAATTCGAATAGCCTAAATTCCCACACACACACACATGATGGTCACGTGATAAATATAATCACATGTTCTCCATTGAATCCAAAACTGACATTACACATGTACTTATTTTTCTACTTGTAAAATATAAATAAAATTTCGAATTTGATGATTGGGTAAATATGTTCATGTATAAAGATTCAACAAAAAGTTTTTTAAAGTAAAAAAAATTATGCGTGTTATTGTGTTATTGTTGACAAATATATAATTTTTAAAAGAAAATTTCTACAAAAAGCAAAATTTGGCAACAGAAAGCACATGAATTGATTGGCTGGAAATACATAGCTACGTTCATCATGTGATTAAGACTTCATAAGAATTTTTTTGAAGTGATTGGCTGAAAACACAGGATTGCAGTTATCACGTCACTAAATGACGTCACATGAAATTAGCCCATTGTATTTATGATTAGGGTTACTCAACTGCGCCTTGTGGCAGTGGTAGCCTAGTGCTTATGGTCACAAACCGTGGCCGGTGTGTCGCTGGTTCTAGTCTTGGTGCCACTGAAGACCCAATGTGTAGAGGGGGTTGCTGCAGGTTAAATATATCGTGGCTTGATGTCCTTCCGTTGGTGTAGTGTCATAGTTAGGAGAAGGTGGTGCCAATTCAGATAAATAAAGATAAGATAATAATATAAAGATGAATATTATAATTAAAGGAAACATATTTAAGACTTAAAAATGCAGGATCAATTAGGATTGATCTGGGTCTGTAGAAATTAAGATCAGGAGTACATTTTTCGATGCTAGGGATCGATTTATTGTCAGTGTTGTCAATATTATTAATGAAGTTGGTAGCATTTCTCCTGATCGTTTGGCTAATAGTGGATATTTTACTCACGGCTCTGAGGTCTACATCAGTGATTCCCAAAGGAGTCTACATAGAACCTCTGGGGTGTATGACGACCTGCAAGGGGCCCACGCCAGCCGAAAAATAATTTGGGGGTCCATGAGATATAAATGGGGGTCTATGATAGTGGCTCTCATTAAACCAGATTGTGACTTAAACAAAAAATTTGATCTAATGGAAAAACCTAATTTTACCAATTTAACTGGTTTATTTACTAAATTTAGTAAGGTTAATTTGTGATTACTAGGTGACAGCGTACATTTTATCAAAACAAGAACCATTTCTTTTCAGATTTAAGCTAAAGAAGTATAATAATGGTCGTCGTGAATTTTTTCAATTTGTTACAGACAATCTGTCAGGACATTTTAACCTACGTTCAACATTTAAATGCCCTTTACTCAGATTCTGAAACTAGGCTTGAGATTGCTTTTTTTCTTAGTTATCCCACAGTAGACAATGAATTTATATAGTCACATTGAAAAAAAATATCATATTACAATAGGAGCTGATCAGAATATGCCCTAACGAAAATCTTAAAATAAAGTTTAGAAAAGGATGTCAGTAATTTTAGCTTTAAAAACCTGTTATTTGTCGCGAGTTATAGAATATCGAGAGAAAGTGTGTGTGTTTTTAATTTGTTTTTCTAATGAGAGGGAGTTTCAGTGATTTTGCAAATCTCAAAAACGAAAAAAAAAAAAAAAGGGGGGGGACACTTACTAACAAAGGAGGTTTAGGGTTAAACCCGACTAGATCGATGTTAAATGCTGAAAATTTGTTATTGAAGCACCATATTCATCCCTCTCATTTAAAGCATTTGTTTGCTGTTTACTTATTTTATGTAACAGTTACATTATGTTTTATTTTAATTTTAATTTAATTCATTAACATGTGCTTTTTAAGTTTTTGTAATGCTATACTTCACAACAATTCGAAATTTAATTATTTTAAAAGTAGTAGTACTATCAGCTGTGAAAAAGATATTAAAATTGATAAATTTGCAAAAATTCAATATTAGGGTAAGCAGGGGTCCACCCGATACCGAAAAACATGGCAAGGGATCTGTGAGACAAGAATTTAGGGAACCTTTGCTATACATTCTTCATAAACCAGTTAGCGCTAAGAATTTGCCTGACAATTAAACTTTGAAGCTTTCTAAATAATTAAGGGGACACAGCACGATTCAATTGACAAAAATCGGTCAAAAAATCAAATCTAATTTTTTTAGCCTAAATTATTCTTTATATATATTTCTTCAACCTCCCAAAATTTGAGAGCTCTAAACTTAAAAACGCAGAATTATTATAGCTTTTATGTTGGTTTTTATTCACATTCCTATGGCAAATCAAAACTTTAAACGGACTTATCCCAGAAAGATAAAATAACTAGTTTGTCTTCATTTAAAATGCTAAGGCTTTTTTCCTATTGTGTCTAATGATTTGAATTTTTTTTACCTATTGCAAATAGTACATGTAACAAAATTTGGTATGCATATTTGAATTAAAGCAATACTTATTTTTTTAAAATAATTAAACTCAGAATTTATACATTTTTTAAGATATTTTCAATAAGCATTCATAAAAAGAATTATTGTGCAAATACCAATCATGTTATCGCAAAACCCATACCAACTTTTGTTATACGTGGTTTGATGTACTTGTAAATCAAATTTCATGCGTGTACGTTAAGTTTTGTAGGAGAAGTAGCATTTTAAAATCACTTCACAAATTTTAAGCTTTTTCCTTAAAAAATTAAATGGTTAGCTTTTTATGAAATTTTGAGCATAAAATCTGTTTTACATAGTACACGCACATAGAGAGCAACCAAAAATTTTTTGAATATCCTTAAATTAAAAATGTGAGTGTAAATCGTACCATGTCCCCTTAATATAGGCCTTTGCTGTATGTCCCCAAACATTAGAGATTTAATGGAATGGAAACCA